TGCAGTGACGCATTTACTGTCCTATGTTGAAATACTTCCCTGATATTTAAATTGTTTTACGTCTGTAATTTTGGTATCTTCAATTTGTGTTTCGCATATTGGGCTTTACTCGCCACCATGAATTTTGTTTACTTGCAACCGATGCTTATTCTTTTCTTTTCGATTTCTTTCCTTAGGAGTTATTGTAATTCCGTTTTGAAAGCTAAAACATGACACGATGGACATTAAGAAGCTAATAAATGGCACAGAAGTTTTTTTTTTTTAAATCTTCAAATAAAAATGAATTCTGAAAATATTTAAGAGCAAAAATAACAACAAAAAAAAAAATACATTTTGTCATGTGGAAATCTAAGCCACCCCTGCCTGAAATTTAAGAAAACATTTCATGCTGCCATCTTTGTGGTTCTGAAATTGTCACATGTGTTTTGATTTGAACGTTTTTGTGTCGACATTCATATCATATTCTTCATTCGTTTCATATATTTCCCTAGTTTACTTAAGGTATCTGTGGATTTTTATATTATATTGTAAGTCTCACACAGAAAAACGAGTATTTTTTTCCTCATAATTACAGAAATCGAGGGAAAAAGAAGATCAAGAAAACTGAAAAGTACCAATTTACACCACAAATAATTGACGTAATTTCTTCAATCCAAAGAACAATATTTTAATTAACCGTCATTTATATACGCACTAACTGCTATAACGATCGTCTTTTGTTAAAATTTATTTCAATTTTCTCCAAAGATAGTGTAAAGATAGTATAGACGAATAATGTTAATTGATCACATTTACAGATAAATATGAGCACGGATTCCAATATATTATTTCTTTCAACTGTAGTCAGATCAATAATTATAAACTGTATAAATACAGGTGGAGGTTAACAGCAGAAAAATAGTCTCTCTAGCCTTAGTTAACAACCAGTCTAGGAGAAGCAAAACACTGAATCCAAAGCCATTTAAGACGTGGAATTAAGCATTTCCTATATTACATAGAGTTAACAATATACGCCTGTTATCAAGTTGACATAAGTTGTTGCAGGAAGGAGAGAAGAACAAGTTATACACTATTATCGGTTTTTACGTCGCCGTTCAACGACAATTTCACCAAGTAGATGTTGTTTAATTTGTACTATAAGTTGAGCGTTATTCAGATGAAATTTATCAAAATATAATTCATATAACGTTTAAACTCTTAGAATTTGTCATTGATTTGAAATTTGTTCAAAGTTCTAATTCCTATAACTCGGAATAGAGTTTAATTTGTTAAAAGCTGCTTTATATGAAATTTGAATGCCTGTAATTCGTTACTGAGTTGAAATTTGTTAAAATCTAATACTTATAACAATATAAATCCTATAATTCGCTATAGCATTGAAATCTATGTTAATCTACTTATTATAACATTCTAATTAGTATAATTAGTGAGTTGAAATTTGTTAAAAATCCCATTATGGTAACGGTCTGATTCATATAATTAGTTATAGAGTTGATTTGTTTTAAAATCTACTTCCTATAATGTTCGCATTCCTATAATTTTTAGAGAGTAGAATATTGTTAAAATCTAATTCTTATAAAGATCCAATTCCTATAATTACTTATAGCGATGTGATGTGTTTAAATATACTTCCTATGAGGTTCTACATCCTATAATTCGTTTTGGAGATAAATTTTGACAAAATTTAATTTTTAAAGAATGTAATTTCCATAATACTTGAAACTTGCTAACATCTACTTCTAATTTATGTAATTCTTTATAGCGTTGATATCTGTTTAAATTAACTTACTATTGCATTCGAATTCCTATAAATCCCTATTGCATTAAAAAAAATTAGTAAAATCTAATTATGATAAAGGACTAATTTCTATAATTCAATATGTAGTTGACATTTGTTTAAATCTACTTTTATAACGTTCTATTTCTATAATTCGGGATTGATTTGAAAGTTATTAAAATATTCTGATAACGGTCTAATTTCTATAATTTATTTATTGAGATGAAATTTCTTTAAAATCTATTTCTTATAATTAGTTATTGCGCTATAATTTGTTTAAACATTATTATTATAACTTTTTGATTCCTAGAATTCCTTAGAGATTTGAAATTAAAAAAAAATTCTTATATCAATTGTTATAGCGTTGACATTTTAAAATCTACTTCCTATAACTTTCGAATTTCTATAATTCTTTGAGTTGAAATTTATTAATATCTGGTTCTCATAATGTTTTAATTCCTATAATTCTTTATAGCGTTGACATATTTTTAAAAATTAAACTATAAAATTCGAATTTCTTTAATTGTTATTGAGCTGAAAGGGGTTAAAATATAATACTTATTACGTTGTAATTCCTATAATTCCTTAGAGTGTAGAAATTTGTTAAAATCTAATTCTTATAACGTTAGTAATTCTATTTATAGCGTTGAAATTTATTTCAATTTACTTCCTATAACAGTCTAATTTCTATAATTCGCTATTGAGTTGAAATGTGTAAACAATTTAATGATAATATTTTTCTAATTCCTATAATTATATATAGAGTTGCCATTTGTTTAAATCGAAATCCTATAACGTTCCGATTCCTATGATTCGGGATTGATTTGAAATTTATTGAAATATAATTCTTATAACATTCTAATTCCTATAATTCGTTTGCGAGTCGTCATTTGTTTGAAGATACTTCCTATAACGATACATTATACTATAACGTGAGTCATATTTTTTCAGTAATATAGTTTGGATTATATGAAAAAAATATTGATTTCTGATTTGCATTTTCTAATTAATTCCCACATCTCCTTTTTTCACATACATACACACACATTATTATTATTATTATTATTATTATTATTATTATTAATAATAATAATAATATTATTATTATTATTTCCTTTGATTTCTGATGTGTACTCATTTCTATCCGAATCCCGCCCAGGGATCTAAGCTTAGAAATGCCATCATGACATTTTCCACTCTAAAAAAAAAAAAAAAAATGACATAGACAAAGGTTCGTAAGGTGTGGGCCGTACTCGTGAGAACAATTTTTTGTATTTCTTTAAGGCATGGGCTTCCAGGATTACCTTCAATTAGTCTACTGAATTTTTTCCAACCAATCCGAGGGCTCCAAATACAACGGGGATTGTTGATGGTCCCATGCCTCACGTTATTATTATTATTATTATTATTATTATTATTATTATTATTATTATTATTTAATTAGAACAGGTGTTTCAGTAAATAATCCTGTTAGCTACCAAACTGTGAAATTAATATTCATTGCAAAATGGTATGTCTTACCATGGATTGTGTGTGCTTTGACGTTTACTTCGTAGCCAAAAATGGAATCGAGGTTTAAACTTTATTTACTTTATGCATGTTGTTATCTGTTTCAGCCTTTTAAATAAGCAAATATGGCTACACAAAACAAATATATTCTTGTGTTAGTAGAATTTTTAGAAATTTTTAAATCAAACTTATGGTCATACACATTATGGTGACCAATCAATGGATGTAATGTTTTGGAAAAGATCCCTTTTGTGTCCATATATTATTTTATTTAAATTACCTGATGTTTCTCTTGAGTATTCCTTGAGCTGCTTTAATTAAAAGACAAAGGTGTATAGAAAGAGATTTAATAGCTAGATCCTCCGCAGTAAATTTACGTCCAAGTTCTTGCAATATTTCACCATTTTTGGCAGATCTTCTATTATCACAATGTAATTGAAACAAAAGCAGAAAGAAAGAATAAATATCAATGAAATCAGTTACACCATATACACAAACACGTATTCTAAGAAAAAAATTAACATCTAAAATTCTCAGCGTAACCTATTCTTCATCTACATCAACGTAAAGGTCTCTTAAGTCCGATTACGCACTCAAGAAGGAAACGCGTCACACAAAAATGTTTCTACTTTGTATCATATTTTCCTAAAACTATCCTGATATATAAAATTTTATTTATCGTTTCCGATAATCACTTCCTGTGTACAAACAACGATTTGCGTAAAAGAAATCATGTTTACATCAAATAAAAAATCATCCTCCAAAATGAAACATTCGATAGAAATATGTATCCGATAAAATGTCACGAGAGATAATTGAATTCGAAAATTGATCTTGCGAGCGGTTTGATTAAATTCTGCTTTCCATAATTTAAATCTTTGAGACTTGGGCTTTACAGGAGAGGAGGAGGCTTTTGTTGCGATGTGTATTGTGTGTAATTCAGTTATTAGTTAAATTAAATGTATTCCATTAGTAAAACAGCATAATATTCACATCTTTATTTTCTGTTTTTGTTGTTTTTTTTAATAATCCACCTCGTGTATTGTGTGAGATTCTGATATAAATACGTTCATGGAACAAAAGTCAACACGGTGATACTGAAAAATAAAGGAGTTAATATTTTTAGAAAATCTGAATAAAAATATTTTTAAAAACATTTTTCCAGCTCTTTCAAAAATAACATGGTAAGAGATAAGAATAACATTTTTTTTTTAAAATTTATTTTTTAAAATTCCCAGCGTAGCTTAAAGCAACAATTTTAAGCTTTTTTCTGTAAATCATTTGGTTTTGTATGAGAAAAATACGTCGTAATTTTGTAGTGAATGTCTTAATGTTATCTATTATTTTACTATGAAAAGCAAAAACCGAATTTGGTTAAGATCTAGCCTAGGGTTATGTGAAAGCCATATAAATTTATCTTTTTTACACTCCAGTTATAAATTGAAGACTAATATCCACCATGATAGAATAACTGTTAAACAAATAAAAATGGCGTCGGAATTGAGAGACGGAGGAAAATGAATGAGTCGGGAATAAGTTGTAGGCAAAAATATGACGACTGCACGTGACATTGAAAAGATGTTGGGGAATGGAGAGAAAAATGGAATAATTAATTTTGGGGGGTAAGCAGACGATAAGGAGCGGAAGGAGAAAGATGATTCAAAAACAAGATATGAAATCAAAAGAGAAAATGGTTTATGAATGGAGAAAGTTTTTAAAAAATGGCAAAAAAGAAAGAATGAAAAAGAAAGAAAGATAGAAAGAAAGAAAAATGTAAGAAAGAAATAAAGAAAGAAGGAAGGAAATGATGATTAAATAAATGAAATAAATAAAGAATGAATGAAAGAACGAAAGGATAAATGAATGAAAGAAAAAAGATTTTATGAAAGACAGGAAGAAAGAAAGAATGTATGAATGAATGAAAGAAAGAATGATTGAATGGATGAAAGAATGATTGAATGAATGAATGAAAAATGAAAGCATCAATCAATGAGTGAATGAAAGAAAAAAGAAAGAAGAAAGAATACTTGAATGAATGAAATACAGAAAGAATAAATGATTGAATGAATACTGAAAGAAAAAATGAGTGAACGAATGAAAGAAAGAAAGAGGAATGTATATATGAATGAAAGAAAGCAAAATGATTGAATGAATGAAAGAATTATTGAAGGAATGAAAGAAAGAAAGCAACAATGATTGAATAAATAAAAGAAAGAAAGATAGAATGAATGAATGAATGAAAGAATAATCAGTGAATGAATGAAATAAAGTAAAAAAGAATGAAAGAAAGAAAATACTTGAATGAATGAAATACAGAATGAAAGAAAGAATGATTGAATCAATGAATGAAATAAAGAACGAAAAGAATAATTGAATGAATGAAATACAGAATGAAAGAAAGAATGATTGAATCAATGAATGAAATAAAGAACGAAAAGAATAATTGAATGAATGAAATACAGAAAGAAATAAAGAATGATTGAATCAATGAATGAAATAAAGAAGGAAAAGAATAATTGAATGAATGAAATACAGAAAGAAATAAAGAATGATTGAATCAATGAATGAAATAAAAAACGAAAAGAATAATTGAATGAATGAAATACAGAATGAAAGAAATAATGATTGAATCAATGAATGAAATAAAGAACGAAAAGAATAATTGAATGAATGAAATACAGAATGAAAGAAAGAATGATTGAATCAATGAATGAAATAAAGAACGAAAAGAATAATTGAATGAATGAAATACAGAAAGAAATAAAAATGATTGAATCAATGAATGAAATAAAAAACGAAAAGAATAATTGAATGATGAATGAAATAAAGAATGAAATGAATGAAATAAAACGATTGAATCAATGAATGAAATAATGAACGAAAAGAATAATTGAATGAATGAAAAAGAATACAATGAAAGAAATAAAAAGAAATAATGATTGAATCAATGAATGAAATAAAGAACGAAAAGAATAATTGAATGAATGAAATACAGAATGAAAGAAAGAATAATTGAATCAATGAATGAAATAAAGAACGAAAAGAATAATTGAATGAATGAAATACAGAAAGAAATAAAGAATGATTGAATCAATGAATGAAATAAAAAACGAAAAGAATAATTGAATGAATGAAATACAGAATGAAAGAAAGAATGATTGAATCAATGAATGAAATAAAGAACGAAAAGAATAATTGAATGAATGAAATACAGAATGTAAGAAAGAATGATTGAATCAATGAATGAAATAAAGAACGAAAAGAATAATTGAATGAATGAAATACAGAATGAAAGAAAGAAATGATTGAATCAATGAATGAAATAAAGAACGAAAAGAATAATTGAATGAATGAAATACAGAAAAGAAATAAAGAATGATTGAATCAATGAATGAAATAAAAACGAAAAGAATAATTGAATGAATGAAATACAGAATGAAAGAAAGAATGATTGAATCAATGAATGAAATAAAGAACGAAAAGAATAATTGAATGAATGAAATACAGAATGAAAGAAAGAATGATTGAATCAATGAATGAAATAAAGAACGAAAAGAATAATTGAATGAATGAAATACAGAAAGAAATAAAGAATGATTGTATCAATGAATGAAATAAAGAACGAAAAGAATAATTGAATGAATGAAATACAGAATGAAAGAAAGAATGATTGAATCAATGAATGAAATAAAGAACGAAAAGAATAATTGAATGAATGAAATACAGAATGAAAGAAAGAATGATTGAATCAATGAATGAAATAAAGAACGAAAAGAATAATTGAATGAATGAAATACAGAAAGAAATAAAGAATGATTGAATCAATGAATGAAATAAAAAACGAAAAGAATAATTGAATGAATGAAATACAGAATGAAAGAAAGAATGATTGAATCAATGAATGAAATAAAGAACGAAAAGAATAATTGAATGAATGAAATACAGAATGAAAGAAAGAATGATTGAATCAATGAATGAAATAAAGAACGAAAAGAATAATTGAATGAATGAAATACAGAATGAAATAAAGAATGATTGAATCAATGAATGAAATAAAGAACGAAAAGAATAATTGAATGAATGAAATACAGAATGAAAGAAAGAATGATTGAATCAATGAATGAAATAAAAAACGAAAAGAATAATTGAATGAATGAAATACAGAAAGAAATAAAGAATGATTGAATCAATGAATGAAATAAAAAACGAAAAGAATAATTGAATGAATGAAATACAGAATGAAAGAAAGAATGATTGAATCAATGAATGAAATAAAGAACGAAAAGAATAATTGAATGAATGAAATACCGAAAGAAATTAAGTATGATTGTATCAATGAATGAAATAAAGAACGAAAAGAATAATTGAATGAATGAAATACAGAATGAAAGAAAGAATGATTGAATCAATGAATGAAATAAAGAACGAAAAGAATAATTGAATTAATGAAATACAGAAAGAAATAAAGAATGATTGAATGAAAGAATGGCAGAAATAAAGAAAGAAATAATGATTGAATGAAAGATGAAAAGAAAGAATGTTTGAATGGATAAATGAAGAATATAAGGAGGAAATATATTAATATTTGAGAAGATATGATTTTTATGACAGAATCCTTCAATTAAATTTGGTATGAATGTTTTTTCGAGACAGGATTCACAGACCTTCCCCGTTCAAAGACATTTTAACCTATGATGTGAGAAAGTAATTGTATACAGATCATAGGTTGCTTATATATTTCTAAACAGGTTTGGCGCCATGTACAGCATCTATACAAAAGCCTCGCTTTCACGAGACTATTTAAGAACATGACTCAAGTTGATGTTTTGGTTTTGTGTCAATTTGCGGTGTTTGGTGAATATACATCTCACGCAAACTATTCTCTGTTAGATTAACTTATTTTTTTTTGCTTTTTTAAGCATGTCACCCCAAGCAAGATAGGAGAGTCACTAGCACGCAAGGGGCTGCAGAGAGTGAAAGCAAGAGTAAAGAGGTGTGTTTAAGGAAAGAATAAAGAAAATGATGGGATGAACATCAAGGCTTCAGAAGATGTCGATTGACATAACATTTGAATATTTGAAAATTATACTTATCAGGGAAGCAAATTAAAAGAAGGAAGTTCCACCTTGAAAAAGTGCGAAATAATAGAAGAGACGGCTACGTAAGAATCAATTAATAGAAAACAGCAATGCTGTTTCCCTTTCAAGGCTTTTCTGATGTTAATGACTGGGTATATGCAGTTGACATAGTTTCTGCGGGCATCTGAAAGTTAGTGTCGCCAGGGTTTAAATGTGACTCAAAGTGTTTTTATTGAGATAAAGACATTTCTACTGTGTTGATTTTGATTGTATGCTAATATTGGGATTTTTTCCTTTACTCCATATTTTAACGTATTGGCTCTGTTGTTTGTCTTCATTAATTTCTTTTCCAATTTTCTGGTGATATTAAAGCGACTCATGAGCCTTTAGAACCAGGATCTGCACTGGATTAAAGAATGCTATATTTTCCGCTATGTTTTGCCCCCACGTATAATTGTGACAAAGATATGAACTGGATCTCGCAGATGAATTCTCAGAGATATAAAAATGATATAAAAATATTTAGTATGGAAAGCACAGTGAGCTGACCATGTTACACCAGATGAATGATCCCCACCTCTGCTACCATGATTTATTCCAACCAATTAATGTTATTTAGTTTAATCGCAGCAGATCTTTTATGCCGGTGGTCTCGAAAAGGGCCTCCAATCTGTGCTTGACTAGAGCAGGAAATGGCTGATAAATTTTAATGCCTCAAAAAAAACTGTTCTCATTTTACCCACCACAAAAAGCCCTTCCTGAACCCCATTAGAATGTCTGATGTTCAACTCCACTAGAGCGCCTCTGCGTCTACCAGGTCTCTCGCTGTCCGCTGACTTAAGATGGAAAAAATACATTGAATTAATAACTTTATCTACCGCAAGGAAAGTTGGATTCTTCTTGCCTGAGTCCATCATTAAAATCTACAAATCAACCATTCACCCTTGCATGGAATACTGCAACTATATATGTTTTGGAACCTCCGCTGTTCGTCTCAAGATGCTCGACAAAATCCTACGAATATGCAATGTGGCTTGTCTGGGTCTGACAACTCGTCTACCGTCTCTTCCTCACAGACGTACGGTCGCTTCCCTCTGTCTTTTCTATAAATACCTTCACGGTAACTGCTCCGACGAGCTAATTTCGCTGTTCCCAAACTTCATGAATTTAAGCGTGCTCCTGGGTTGGTATTTCAGTCCCACCCTTTCACTGTCGAAACGGCTAAATGTAGCCGTCTCTTCTACTTCAGTAGCTTCATGACTTGCACTTTCCGTCTGTGGAATTACTTCCTCTTGTTTGCTTACCTAACAGCTTTAGTCTTCAAATATTCAAATCTAACCGACATCTTCTCTTTATCCTTTTCTCAACCACGCCTCTTTACTCTTTCTTCCACTCTCTTTAACCCCTTGCGTGTCAGTGGCACCCCTGCCATGCTTGGGATTAAATGCTTAAAAATAAAAAAAATAAATAAATAAATATTTTATGACCTGAAAGTATGACATTCGTAAGTTGGTGCATAAAATCAACCAAATTTTTAAATAATAATATGCAATTGTTGTGGAGTATTTTTCACAGTGGAGGCTTGTATTTCTAATAAGTCGTAATTCATCCGACGAATTTTTTCGTTGGGGTTTTTGACAAATATTGGATCGTTTCTTGGCCTATGGCTGAGATTCGATCAAGGCTTCGACTAGCTTGGACTGGCTCCGGCCTGGACTTGCTAGGACAAGTCATGACCAGCTTTGACTAGGCTCTGACCAGCTTGGACAAGCTATGACCAGTTTTGGACCAGTGGCCTTTGAGTGGAAACACTCGGGTCTCCCACGTTAAACGACCTTGTGTCACATCTTGACTTTGTGGATGTCAAGTAAATACCATTTCTAATAAGTCGTCCTAAATTAGGTCCGACGTACAAAACGTTAGGTACTTGGAAAATAAGAGTCAATGACGCAGCAAATCTAGTTGTGATGGTTTGTACTTCAAATGTCCGAATCTCGACTGACGCTCTCAACACCATTCCCGGTATTTATCTTTTCACCCACGGAAAGAATATGGCACAAGGCCGGTTTTTTTGTGGGTTTCCCCGAGCCCGTAGGCTCGGCCAAAAAATAGCCTTTTGAAGCCGATTAGACCAGGCCCCGTCTACCTCCCCCGGACGAAACCTTGCCCTTCGGCAAAGCCTCGTCCGGTTCCTCTTCATAACGCAGAGTTCGACAGG